ATAATGAGGTTTATTCGATGCATGTGAATGGCACGAACACAGTTTGAAATGAAACTGTGCATCGGAAATGAAGGTGAATCACTATCTAGATTCAGTAAATGCATCCGTCTAATTTCAATTCAAAACGCAATAACGCACCTATTTTCAAAGGAGTCATTAGAAGTGGCACGATGTTGTCGTAATAAGAAATCGACGTATTCAGTTTGCGGGTCGTTCACTGAACCCGATTCATCGGCATTGTTGTTCGACGAGCTGGATGCAGTAGAGCATTGAGGTATTACCGTACTCAGCAGTTCTGCTGCAGGACTCAACGGTCGTCTGTGTGCACGTCTGCTATTGCCGATTATTTTCTTCATATAATCCCTGAACTTCACTTCATTTACCTTTTCAAATCCTTTCACAAATCATTACGCACAGTAAAATTCTGTTAATGATTAGCAAAAATTGTGTCCGAATTTGGAATACGAACCGTAACTTTTGCTCGATCTCCACAGTGGTTCTTTCGACGACGCCGAACGCAGTCAGTTCAACTGCCCATTTTTCCAACAAGCGCTGTCGGCCGTGTTTTGCATCACCTCGAGTGGCTGCCGTGAATCCCTGATTTTTATGAAATTCTTTTCATTGCACACATCAATACGCATTCGTTTTGGATTAATCGCAAGGATAAAAGCAATTATTCGAAATTTGCGTGCAAACGTTCAAGTGAACAGAAATTTTGAAAGTGACTCACTCGATTGTATTCATCAACATTCTCAACATAAGCCCTTGCCAGATGCATCCTTTCCGGTGCCGTGAAATTTGGTTTCCTTTTGGCTCTTTTCGCTGGTTGTTCAACTATCTCAGCTCTTGGGAATAACTTCTCTACAATTTTGATGATATCACTTATCGTTAGACATTGATCGCTTTTTCATTTCTTTGTAGAGTTTTCGTCTCAAGAACCGCTTGAATATTCGTGCAAGATGCAAAATAGAATACAGTCTCAACTTTCGAGGTGAATTTGGTTCAGTGAAGTAAAATTTTTTCGTTTCAAGCGAATCAAATTTAATCGCAATTCAAAATTTTCATTGATATTCAATCTGAATTGATTATTGCACTGCTGAATTTCAAAAAGCG